TACCGAAAACAAAAAGCAGTAAACCGTAGATATTTAAATAGTTTAAAAATATTTTTGAATATTTGGAAGAAGATGCAAAGGCTACTGGGAGGGAAAACAGCTACATGACATTGGAATTAGTCAGGATATAAAGCAATAGTGGGGTAAAGGACTAGGATGGTAGCAACAGGCAAGACAGATTTTAGTCCCTAAGAAGTGAGGGATTGAGTCTGACACTTATATTGATAAATAAAAGTACATGCTATTGGTCGGGTACCTTTTTTGTGTCCTGCTTCCTTCCAGAATTTGAGCTGGTACAGGGATTCATGTAGTCAGTGTTGAAGGTTTGGTTTACATATCGTCCAGATAATGTGCCTTAGACTGTACCTACACACCCAGGCTTTTGTGTTGAAAATGTATGCTGCTATTTTGGGAAGTACAGTATTTATAGATGGAGCATTTGAAAAATAATCCAGGTATCTATAGCCAACCTAGCTATATGTTCTTTGTTTGGATATTTGGAAGAAGATGATCCTTGTTCTTTGTTAAAGGAAAATATAGCCACATGTTGGTAAGAATTAACTTTCTTTTTGTGCCATATAGATGGGTCTTGATGGTCTTCAACAGGACTATATCAGAAAAGCTGAATACCCGTTTAGCTCTGAGCAAAAGTGGATGGCCGTTAAGTGTGTACACCGAACACAGCAGGTATCCATCTGTTTAAAGAGTACTTACATTCTCTGTAGCTTAGATGACTGTTTTTTCATTTACTATCCACCTTTAGATTTAAACATTTAAAATTATTGTATATAATAAAGACCTGTTGCTTTGAAGTATGTGTAATTCATAGTATACTCATCTCTTGTTATTCCCATGTTCTCTTCTATATGCTTTCCTTATAGAATTCATGCGTAGATATATATTCAATTTTGCTGTGTGAGCAAACAACTTAAATGAGTTGTAGCCTGGTCTCAGCCTCCTAGAGCATTTGACATCAGGTTTTCTCAACATTTTTGTTCTTTTCTCTTTTTTTGGCAGCTGGCTGGCATAGGGATCTGAACCCATGACCTTGGTGTTAGAAGGCTACACTCTAACCA